TTTCGGGGTGAATGGAAGGTTTATTTTATTTTAAATTCTTACTAAGGAATATTTCTTGCCCTTGCCAAAACACCAGGATGCAAATAGAAATATCTGTGCTCTGGGGTGAGTTTGGCAACAGATGGAAAACACTAAACCAGGCAGGAGGTTTCCCAGGACTGGTTACGGGTCACCCATCCTGGTTGATTCTCTCCAGAGAAAACCTGTCTCTCAAAATTCCCTGGACAAAGAGGGGTGAAATGGGAGATTTCAACCTCTTGACTTCACTGGGAGGGATTTTCACAGTTGTTTTCTCCAGTGGAAATCAGAATATTTGCTTGTTAGAAGCTTTCACTCCTGCTCTGCTTCATCCATTCCAGGAACCTCCCAGCACCTACTTGGAGATGAAAACCTTATTTTTGGCTGCTGGGTTTGGGAAGCAACAGGCAGTTTTACCTCTTAGCCTGGCTGTTCCTTCATCAATGCCATTTTCTATCCACATGTGTGTAAAGCAATGTGAAATGCCACCCTCATGACCTAAAATCACATTATCACAGAATTGGGTAGGAAGGGACCTCAAATTAAAGACCTGTTGAGGATTATTTGCCTTTCTGAATGTCCAGATGAATATTTGCTTTCTGGCTGGCAGAATTTGGGGTGTAGTGAGGGTGGGACACAAGTGGGGGCCAGAAGTTGCTGAGGAAGGTCAAAACCTCCAAATGGTAGAAGGTGAAGGTCTCTCAAATCAGAGATTTATTCTGCCCCTGATATCAAGTTGGCAACGATGTCACCTGAGAAATTCTGCCTTATTTGGTTGCCAGGCATTGGAGGTGCCCCTTTGAGAGCCTAAAAATGGGGGTAAAATGAAAGTTCTTTTATTTGTTATGGAATTGGCTCCACCTGTGGTGGCTCAGGTGTCCCTGGTTCTGGGTGACAGTGGAATTCCTGTGTCTTCGCTCAAGCCCGAGCAGTGCAGGTTCCCAGGGCAAGGTTTGTGCTTCAGTGGGATCCTTGGAAAGATGAAAGGAGCCCTTGCAGGGAGGTGAAGTGGCTCCTGTGCTCAGTACAAGATTTTAAGGCTGTTCCTGAAGGTTTTATTTATTGGCTGCGAGGTCGGAGCCGCCGCCGTCGGCGCAGCCCCGGGAGCGGGGAAGGGGGATAATTACCAGGAAACTATTACATGGCCTTCAGAAGAACTCCCTGCCTTCCCTCTCTCCCTTTTTTGGCTGCCCCTGCTGCAAACCTGGGAAGGAGAGCTCGTTCCTCACCGTGGCTGGGAGGGAGAAAGTGCAGAGTCAGCATTTTCCTGAGCCTGCTGGAGGGTTGGAGAGCGGGAGCTGCCTGAGCTGGACACGGCTCAGAGCCCCCCCTGGACCTCTGGGCTCTTGGGTTATTTTCCTGTAGCAAACCAGGGTAAATAATGATGTGCTTTGTGGAGCATTCAGTGGTGCTGGGAGTGGTTGTTGCTTCCACAAGACAACTGTGAAGTACCTGCCCCAGAATGAAGTGATGTTGGGCTGCTTGGGCAAGTTTAGGAACAGGGAATATCCTTGGGTTTGTGTGCCCAGTGTCTGTCAGCTTGGGAACTTGGTTTGCACAACTCAGGGAATCACAGAGCGGGTTGGGTTGGAAGGGACCATAAAGGTCATCCTGTTCCACCCCCTGCCATGGGCAGGGACACCTTCCACCAGCCCAGGGTGCTCCAGCCTGGCCTTGGACACTTCCAGGGATCCAGGGGCAGCCACAGCTTCTCTGCCCAACCTGGGCCAGGGCCTGCCCACCCTCAGGGTAAATCTGCTCCTTTTATTGTCACAAAGAAAGGACTAGAAATTCTTCCTCCTGCAGGGGAATGATCTTTGTGTTGTCACATGGGGTGGATTTTAAACCCTTGTGGTCTTGTGTGGCTCGTAAGGAGAATCCCAGAATATCCTGAGGTGGAAGAGACCCTCAAGGACCATCCAGTCCAACCCTCAGCCCTGCACAGACACCCCAACAATCCCCCCCTGTGCCCCAGAGGATCATCCCAACCCTCCTGCAGCTCTGGCAGCCTTGGGGCTGTGCCCACTGCCCTGGGGAGCCTGGGCAGTGCCAACCACCCTCTGGGGGAAGAACCTTGTCCTGAGATCCACCCTGAGCCTGCCCTGGCACAGCTCCAGCCATTCCCTGGGGTACTCAGGGAAATGCTGCTCAGGATCCTTTGGAGACTCCTGTGGTTTCGTAGGTCTGGGCAGGAAGGAGTTAAATAAATCTTCATGTGAAATCAGTTCCAGTGATTTTAGGGTGTCCTAAAGGGATGAATTTTCTCGTGGCCAAGATCCGTAGCAGAGAGAGCAGAGGGAGCTATTTTTACCTCTGGCAAATTAGAGAACACCTCTGCTGGGAGTGTCATCTCCTAAATAAAATGTTTAATTAATCTTTTGACCTCTCCTCCCCAGCTGCTGCCTTTCACAGGAGGTAAAGTAGAACAGCTCAGGCAAAAAAATTCCAATCGAGCCTTGTCCTGAATCCTGCTGAACATCCTCATGGCAGGTGTTAATTTTATTCTGTTTTATTCCACTTCATGCAACACCACACTTGCCTTTGAGCATTAGGCTTTTATACAGAGATTGTCCTGATAGTTTTGAAGTTATTCATGGTTTTCTCATACAGAGATGTGACAATTTGAATCTTTACCGGAATTATGGGGTTGGAAACAGGATTTACAAGGCTTGAGGAACTTGATATATTTGGTTTATCAGATGAGGGGATTGTGAGCTCTGTGTTTCTGGATGTTTGTTGAAGGACACCACTCGTAGCTGCTGTTTACAATGAGCACCCAAAGGTTTGGTGAGACACAAAAGGGAAGAAGGTCAAAGCTGGGTAAAGGTGGAGTAAAGATCTCCTGGAATGATCCATCGGGATTCGTGGTGGGCATTGCATCACCCCTTGGAAAACCTCTGGCTTGTTTTTTTCCTCAGAGCTCCAAGTTCCACCTCGGCCACAACCACTGACCTTGAAGTGGGTTTGAATTGGGGGGTCGGCTCCTCGTCTGGATTTTGGGCGGGTTATTTGGGATGTCGGGGCTGTGTGAGTGCCGTGCCCCCTGAGAACCCGCTGCCTATAGGAATAATAAATTCAGACCCCGTGTTTTCCTTCTTGTGGCGAAGCCCAAATTTCAAAAAGAAAAGGGGAGTTTAAAGAGAAAGAGAAATTGAGCCAAAACTTTTGGTGTTCTGATCCTGACTCTGATAACGCTCCCTGTGTGTGGCCTTGGGTGAGTTATTAATCCACATGTGCCTGACTCTGCCAACTTTCCCAATTTATCCAGCGTGGATAAATTCCCTCGGCCAATGGGCTGACCTGTTTTTAATGCCAATGCGAAATAATTACCGTAAAAGTGGGATAATCAAGAGCTTTTTATGGTGTTTTGTTTACGACAAAGGACGGTTGTGCTCCGGGTGGGTGCCCACTTTCCAGCCCTCCTCCGCTGGAGCTCCTGGGAGATGTTTTTGACTCTCCAAAAGCGGGTTTTTCTTGACTCGTGGCCACGGCTGTGGCGCTGGGCCCCGCCAAGTTCAGTGCTCTGCTGGACGGGACGGAACGTGTTTATGGGTTCTGACGGAACTCGGAAGTTCTTGGAGCGCTGAAGCTGCCGCGTTACGGGAAAGGGAATCAGGGGGTGACTCACCGGGGAGGGCTGACCCTGGGGGAGAGGGCAGAGCGTGGAACACTCACTGGGAAAGGATTTCTTTGGTTGTCTGGGGTGTGTATTTATTTTTGTGGGATTAGCTGGTGCCAGCTGGGGCCATCAGGGATGGGATGGGGGCTTGGTGCCTCTGGGAATTTTAATGTACCAATATCTATCTATCTATCTATCTGTCTATCAGTCAATCTATCTCTATATATTATATATGTATATCTAGATATTTCTCTATATAAGTAGATAAATATATCTATATATCCATATATATCTATATATCCACATATCTATATATCCATATATATCTGTATTTCTATATATCTAGATAAATATTTAGATATAAACACTATATGATATGAATAATATACAAATAAACATACTTGTATATAATATATAAACACATAAATAATATAAAAATTGTAGATATACACATAGATAAACACTATATAAATATATAAATAATATATAAATTTTAGGTATTTATATATACTATATCAACAAGATATGAATACTGTATAAATTATATATATATATATATACACACACACATATGCTTTCCCCCCCTCCAAACTCAACCATTTCCAGGGTAAAGAGTGTGATCTGTTTGTCATCACTCCAGATCAAGGTGTTCGGGCAAGTTAAAGGACAACACTTCTTATGTAATTTTATTTTATTTCCGTTTTTTAATTTTTTCCATTTTTTCATGTATGTATTTTATTTTAATTTTAATTTTTATTTTATTTTCATTTATTTATTGAATTTAATTTTAATTTAATTTTTACTTTGATTTAATTTTTACTTTGATTTAATTTTAATTTAATTTTTTATTATTTTATTTTATTTTATTTTATTTTAGAAGAAAAAGTTTAAATGTTCACACAGAATCTGAAGGGTCAGCAGAGCAAAACTCAGCCAGGGCACAGCTGGTGGGGGCTCTGCTGCCTGGATTTGCTCGAGGCAGAGAAGCAGCTCAAGGTGCAGCAACGGTGGTTTTGTCATCTCCAGCCTTTGGAAATCTGGTGTTTTGTAGAAACATGAAGTCCTGGCCTTGGACCCTCCCAGGGATCCAGGGGCAGCCACAGCTTCTCTGCCCAACCTGGGCCAGGGCCTCCCTCATGACCAAACCATTCCTCCCAAGTGTAGCAGCCGTGGATTGAATTTCCCCGTTGTTGTTGTTGTTGTTGTTGTCCTCAGTTGTGCAAACACCCAAATTCCGTGTCATTGTCAGGTTTCTGCCCTGTTTGCTTCCAATCTTCCGGAATTTTCCTGCCTGTCTGCTCTTTGTCTCCTCTTCGTTGCGATTTCCTCCTTTATTAATGTTTATTCCCTTCCTTTCCTAAAGGATTGCAGGTACAATCAGTGGAAAATAATTGCCAAGATATTCTTCAGCCTTCTGCTCTCTCCAAACGTTCAGGTACTCTGCACTTGATGTGTCATCTCACTAATTCCCTCTCCTTGAGAATAACATGGACCTCATTTCTAGTCCACTGTTGAAATACTTTGAAATACTGATTTTTGTGGCACTAAACTGCAAAGCTGAGTCCCCTGGCTGAACACTTAACAGCTCACGCTAACCTTTGCTGAGGTGGAAATCAGATTTCCAGTGGGAAAACTCCCAAGTTTTCCATTCTGATCATCTGCTGGGATGTGATTCCTGGCCTTGAACCCTTCCAAAAATCCCCCTTTAGACAAACAGTCCATTTTGGACTGTTCTAACGTGTTATGGATAAACCCAATCAGCCACTGATCTCTCCTTGTATCCTCTTGCTTCCCATATCAGCTCTCTACACTTCCCAACTCCCAATTTTTTCTTAGCCAGCTGGAGCTTCCCTCTTTATTCCCTTTTGTCATGTCCCCTTTTTTCTTTTTTCCTCCTTTTTTTTTTTTTTTTTTACAGCCTCCTTAACCTCCCTCTGAGCCAGGTTGCCTTTTAACCGGCGTGGCCGCCCCTCTCAGTTGTGGGATTGTGGCTTTTGGAGCATCTACTTAAAATGTTCTTCAACAATTTTCAATTAGTCTTCATATTTTTCTGATTACGTTCCTTTTTCCCCACTGATTTGCCTCGTAATTATTTTCAGCTTGATGAAACCAGCCCTCTCTAAAAATGTGTGCATATATACGTGTGTGTACGTGTGTGTGTGAGTGGGGACTGTTGGTGGTGCTGTTTTATTCCCAATTTCCATCTATTTTTGAGTTCCTGTAGATTTCTGATCAAGTTATGGTGACTTGTGTTCTAATTAGCCGAAAAGTGGGATAAAAATGTGGCTGCTGCTTCTAAAACTTCGTTTTTCCAAATGGGCACTGGCACAGGAGAGGCTGATTCAGGGGTTTGTTGGCATTTAGGGGATGGTGTTTCTGTAATTAAAGGGGCGTCGTCTCCAGCCCTTTGATGTCTGGACAACCTTGGCTCCTCCTGAACTTGGTGTGGTTTGCTTTGTCGTTGAGTTATGGAAGGGTTTGGGTTGGAAGGGGCCTTAAAGATCATTCCAACCCCGTGCCATGGGCAGGGACACCTTCCACTAGCCCAGGTTGCTCCAAGCCACACCCAGTCTGGCCTTGGACACTTCCAGGGATCCAGGGGCAGCCACAGCTTCTCTGGGCAAGTTGTGGATGCCCCGTCCCTGGAGGTATCCCAGAGGTTACTGCTTTGTTGTCTCAGGAGGGATTAAAAAGGGTAAATGCTGCCTTCAGTCTGGTTTGGAAGTTTTGTGGTCCATGTTGGAGCAGTGTCCGTGGGTTTCCAGGTGAGACAGGAGATGGCAGAGTTGCCTCCTGTGTGCTCTGCAAAGCTGGTGGAGGAGGCACTGCCTGTGGTGGGAAATTCCATAGAATTCCACAATCATTAAGGTTGGAAATGCCCTCCAAGTTCATCCAGCCCTCTTTGTGCCCCATCCCCACCCTGTCCCCCAGCCCAGAGCACTGAGTGCCACGGCCAGTCCTTCCTTGGGCACCTCCAGGGCTGGGCACTCCAAACCTCCCTGGGCAGCCCCTGCCAGGGCCTGACCACCCTTTCCAGGGAGAAATTCCTGCTGATGTCCCACCTGCCCCTCCCCTGGCACAGCTGGAGGCCATTCCCTCTCCTCCTGTCCCTGTTCCCTGGGAGCAGAGCCCGACCCCCCCCGGCTTCCCCCTCCTGTCAGGGATTGCAGAGCCAGAAGGTCCCCCCTGAGCCTCCTTTTCTCCAGGCTGAGCCCAGGATGATCCAAGCCCAGTCAGGGTCGCTTAGAGATCCTTCCTGTAAGCTCACAGCGACACTGATCCCAACTGGGATAACATTTGTGGTGGAATGAGCAGGGAAGGGCTGTGATGGGGGAGCTGGGGCAGGGAAACCACACGGGAGAACCAACACTCAACAGCCACCCACGGGAGAAGGGCCTGACCCCACCACCCCAACCCCAGCGAGGTGTCCCGCAGGGGGGGGCCAACATCCCAGCCTGGAACTGTGCTCTCTGCTCTTTTCTGGAGCAAACCCAGGGATGCGTTTGGATGCTCTGAGGGGGAGGGCTCATCCCAGATTACCCCCCAGCTGACCCTGCGGAGCTGGCTGGAAGTGATCAGCCCCACGGATGTTCAGCGAGCAGCAGTCGGGCTCCATCTGCGGCTGCTTAACCAGCCCTTCACACAGTGTGTGGGGAGGGCTCATCTGGTTCCAGTTTCACCAGGAACAGGAGTAAATGTTGAGAACATAACTCCCCTACATCCCCGGTTTCACTTGTTGTGGATGCTTGAGATGCTTTGCAGCCCACATCTTTGGGGTTTCGAGGAGGGTTTTTTGGCCTGGGAGCCCCGCGACCCGTTGGAGATTTAGTTTCTTCTTCTTTAAAAAAGTGCCCTGGAGGTTGCATTGTAGGGACTTTTCCTTATGCAAAACATAAAAGTGCCGGGTTCTTCTTTTTTTTTTTTTTTTAAATTATAACCATATTTTTCATTAAAATCAGTTGGGGTCCCAATAAACAATCGGCTCCCAAAATTTTCCAAACGTTTTGCTGCTGCAGCGCCGTTTCTATTTTTAATTATTTTTATTTTTTTCTTTTAAAAAAATTGGTTTTTCCTTAAAAAAAAAAAACAACCCACAACCAAAAAAACACCAACTTGGCTTAGAATTTAAAGAAGCCATCTAGTAAATCAGAAAAAATGCACATACATATATATATATATAGCTCTTTATTACAATTTAATTAAAACCTACTGTACATCAGAGTGTAGGAATCCTTCTGTCGCCGTGTCCGACGAGCTCTGCCGTTCCCTTATCGTGGGAACTTCTTCTTTCTCTTCCCATCTCTTCTCCAAGACTCTTCCAGCCCCTGTTTGTACATTTGTTTTCTATAAGTTGAGAACTGGGGATCCTATAGAAAAAGATGTTAAAGCCTCTTCAAAGGCACAAACCCGCCTGGTTTTTCAGGCACTGACGCGCACACGCACGGTTCCCACCCCGTATCGCTCTTTGATATCGTCATTTTTAGAGCCTGTTCCCAGTTTTATTGATTTCTTGTTACCTGGTGCCATATTTATTTGCTGTCATAAAAAAAGAAAGCCCCACCACAACTGAGAACAAACCCAACACCGCCCCACCGGGTTTTGCGTCCAAAGTTGTCGTGTTTGCCTCGTACAAACCGGGCCAAGGTGTCCCCGTAAAACGTTTAGGGTCGAAACCTTTTTTTTTTTATTGCACCTGGTGGTTTTGAAAAGTGTTCTTAAGATATTCCTGCAGCGCTCCTGTGAAATGCTGAGTAATCCAATGAAAACCTTCCTTTCTGGAAGGATCCAGCTGGTGGGGCAAGTGGTGGGGAGGGAGAACTTCTGCCTGATGAAAAGGAAAGTTGAGGGATGGGAAGAAATGTGGGGCAGGTGGGGTGGAAGGTGAGATGTCTGCCAGAGGGCAGGGATAGATGGGATATTGGGAAGGAATTGCTGGCTGGGAGGGTGGGGAGGCCCTGGCACAGGTTGGGCAGAGAAGCCCCTGGATCCCTGGAAGTGTCCAAGGCCAGGTTGGAGCAACCTGGGTGAGTGGAAGGTGTCCCTGTCCATGTCACTGGAATGAGATGGGCTTTCAGGCCCCTCCCAACCCAAACCATTCCATGATTCCATTTAGACATTTACTAGGAGGATTTGCTTGATGGGCACCTGTCACCGACAGCAGCTTGGCTTGTTTTGTAATTTTTAGCTGGATTTGTTGATTTTTCCAATCTCTGCGCACCACAGACCTTCCCAGTAGAGCCATTGGCCGACCCCAGTCCCCCTTCTGGGTCGTCCTTCTGTCCCTCACGTGTTCCACATGGTTCAAATCACCCTCTGCAGCCCAGCAAGTGGTTTCTGTGCCCTCTGGGTCTTGGCTCAGCCACGTGGAGTGTGCCCAAGCCCGAGGAATTCGTGGAGCTGGTGCCCAGCACTGGAGTTTCATTGACATCTTCACCGTGGAAAAACCGCTCCCCTTGCTTCCCAAGGCACGGAAAGAGGAGAAAGTGAATTTTGCTGCTCCATTTCCGTGTCGCTCAAGGCTTGTTGTGCTTCTGGTGAGCGATCCAAGCCGGATGAATCCCCGGGATGAGTTTACTTTCCATCTGTTCCGGGGGCATTTGTGTGGTGGGACTTGTTTGAAGGCGATGGGAAACGTCTGTTTCTCGTGGGCCTCTTGGACGTTCGGGACGTGCAGTTAAAGATGGGAAGTTTCTGCTTGATCCTGAACGTGTTTTCACTTTTCCTCAGTGGCAAAGTGGGATTTTTGGGCTGAGTCCTCAGCTGGATGCGAAGTATTTCGTAATAGAGCACAAACTTGTGTTTAGGTCTCTTTCCTTAGAAACTGTGGCTTTAATCTGCTTATTAAATGTCTGGAATTGTCAACAAATATTTATTAGGAATCAGCGAGGGCCCAGCACAGTCACTGTTGGTTTTCTGCTGAGGATCAAACGCCCTTTGTGACAGGACAGGATAGGACTGGGTGCCCCATCCCTGCAAACTTCCAGGGTCAGGTTGGACAGGGCTCTGATCTGGTTGAAGATCATTGCAGGGGGGTTGGACCAGATGACCTTTGAAGGTCCCTTCCCACCCAAACCAGGCTGTGATTCTGTGATTCTGAGAAGGTTTTGGGTTGGCACAAATACACTGTGCTGAGCTTCCCGCTCCTCTTGACTCCCTGCTGCTGCAGGAATTTCTGTGCTGCTCCTGGAGCCTCCTGATTTCCTGAACTGGGCAGGGGGTGCCAAAGTGCCACCTGTCCCCGCTGCTCTGGACAGGCTGAGCTGCCCTGGGGCTGGAAGTGGGCGGAAGGAATTCTGCCCTCCCGTGTTGCAAAGACAATTAATTGTGTTTTTTTTTGTGGGTGATCCCACGGCTCAGCCTTATCTTCCTCCGGCTTTGTGAATCCTGGGCGCTGGGAGCTCTCACAGGACCTCCCACAAGGAGCCCGCAGTGCCA